CTTACTGTAAAAGAATCCACTGAATTCAATCATCTGCATATCGGCATCATCATCACAATTTTTCAATTTTGAGGAAACCACCTCTAATTTTTCATTAAAGGAAAAATGAATGAAGATATTCTCCCATTTTAAGACCACCTCCCATCCTGTCATCTTTTACTGCAAGGGTAGAAAACTGGTTAAGATCAAGAAAACCCAATTTCACCCATGGCATTGAGAAATGGAAAGCTATAAACACCCTCCTCATCACACTGCTGGGGGTGCGGCGGCTTCTGTCCTGAGTGCTTGCGGACAATAAGTGATGCTGGCTCAAAAGGGAAAGCGCTACACCAAGTTCTTGAATTCAAGTTTCCCAGCTTATTTCTGGAATGGAGAAAGGCAATGTCATAAAAATAAAATTCTGGAAAAGATGTTAACCTTTAAACATCTTTAAACACCAAAAAAATTGGTAACTGATTTAAAAGAAAAAAGCTCATGAAAAGTCCGGAAACCAAATGCTACAAGTGGAAAATTTATAGTCCACTGAGCAAATCCTTCCCAGATTAAACCAAATGTTACAATACCAGATTTTTAAGTTCTCAAATCACAAAATTAAGAGCCCTTAAGCTGTTACCTATGTCCTGTTTGACTCTCCTATTTGGAAAAATTCCCCTAAAATCTGTGCAAAAGTAACTGACACACTTGCAGTACAAGACAACATGGGAGATGGTCTCAACTCTATTTTGAGGCAAAAGTCACGTGTTATAACTGGAAGAAAAAAAAAAGTGCTACAAAGAGAAATGAAACCACAATTCCAAGGAGAGACTGGCTGAAATTTGTAACGTTATAGGTAATGATAATAACAATGACCCACTGTATAATGACCTCCCCTGCAGTGAACAATCTGCTATGCACTCCGTGAGGCCGAAGAGCCCCAGCTTGCCACAGTGGGAACCTGCAACTGCGAGGCCAGGCCTGCCCTTTTCCGGTTCTCTGTGCACAAGGTGATGCCACCTACTCCAGACAGTTAGGCAGGGGAGCTTCTTCCACCAACTGCTAACTCAACAGCAGTGTGTTCACTTGACTGAGCTCTGGCCTCCAACATGTACCTCTGTATAATTTTAGGAAGTATCTAAATGCCATTCACTAGATTTAAAAAAAAAAAAAAGGAATAGAAAACTCTGGACCAAGTAAATTGTAAACTCAAAAAGTTAGAAGGGAAACCAATTACATAAACAACACTTTCTTTAAAAAATAGAATTGCTTTCTTTTGAAATCAACCTCAGTGGTGAGACGTGTTTTTCTGTTCAGGTGCCCCATGATGGCGCACAGCTTTCCCCGGCAAATCCTGCCAGCTTCCAAGTCCTGGGCTGCTGACCTGCACCAGCACATGGGGCAACGTGACCTCCCGACAGTGTGAAGAGCACATGTCACCACTGGGAGAAGAGAGAGCTGACAGAGACTCTTGGCTTCTCAACGCCAGACATGGTTGTGGAGAGCTTTCCTTGTTCTATTAGAAAAGTTCATGAGGAGGCTGTGAATAGGATCAGTCCAGAGAAGTAAAACTCTTTTATTTTCACTGTCCATACATCAGTCAATATACTGGGAGAGCCAGCGGAAGCCCTCGCCGTAGCCTTGCCTCTTGAGCACACTGCACATGAACACTTCCATGGGGCGGGCGTTCAGCTCCTTCAGGGTCACATTTCCCTAAGGGAGGCAAAATCAAGAAAGGCCTGTTAGCACCTTCCTGGTGCAAAGTTTGAAAGGGTGATCACAAAAATCACTTTCCCCATTCCTCAAAAGCAACTCTAAGGAGGGATTATTTTAAAAAGTGTGGTCCAGGCCATACAAATGACTTCCCCAGGGCTTCATACTTTCAGGATAGAGGAAGCAGCACAGTCCTACTCCCAGCCTCTCCCTAAGAAGTGCACCAAAGCTCACTGGCCAGCTATGGCAGCAAACCAAGGAAAAGGCCACTGGGACCCACAGAACCAGCATGCTCTTTGATGGACAAAAGAAGTCTGGGACTTTTTAGAAATATTCTCATTAATGCAAACATTCAGAAAGATACACTAATAACAAGTTATACTGAAGAAATTAAGAATTTGTGTGTGTAATTCTCATGCAAGAGAGAGAAACTGAACAAGTTAGAGAAAGCATTTCGGGAAAGAAATAGGTAACCAAGGGGCAAAAGAAGCATCTATAAAAGTAAAAAATCATTACAGATTCCAGAAAACGAAAATTTAAATGTTAAATATGCCAAAATCCTGAGCTGAAAAGGACAGGATTCATGCTTAATTATAGTTGATTTAAATTTTCTCTCTCAAGCATACTTTTCTTCTTTTAACTGGAGACAACATGATCTACTGATCTGGACTTGGGCCCTGCTCCTGCTTTTATTACTGACTTGCTGTGAGAACCTGAACAAACCACTGTCAGAGCTCCATCTTCAGAATGGGGATAACAGTCCAAGAATCCAGTGCTTTGAATTCAATGCTTAGAAAGTGATACAGATAAATGAATACTCTTCTTCATAACCTGAAATCTCCAGTTAAAAGAAAATTGATTTCTGGTTTTAAAGGTTCTTTCAAATGAGATTTCTAAAAATTGAATTTGAGCCAAAACTGGTTTGGCTCAGTGGATAGAGCGTCAGCCTGCGGACTGAAAGGTCCAGGGTTCAATTCCCGTCAAGGGCATGTACCTGGGTTGCAGGCACATTTCCAGTGGGAGATGTACAGGAGGCAGCTGATCAATGTTTCTCTTTCATCGATGTTTCTAACTCTCTATCTCTCTCCCTTCCTCTCTGTGAAAAATCAATAAAATATGTTTAAAAAAAAAAAGAATAATAAATGTTTAAAAAATAAAAAAAAATTTGAACTTTAAAGAGTAAAAAAATTCTTGCCCTACCGGTTTGGCTCAGTGGATAGAGCGTCAGCCTGTGGACTCAAGGGTCCCAGGTTCGATTCCAGTCAAGGGCATGTACCTTGGTTGGGGGCACATCCCCAGTAGGAAGTGTGCAGGAGGCAGCTGATCGATGTTTCTAACTCTCTATTTCTCTCCCTTCCTCTGTGTAAAAAATCAATAAAATATATATTTTTTAAAAATTCTTAAAATATTAAGTTTGCCATTTGCACTATTTCCTTCATTCTCATGTATCACATTAGAAAATAGTTTAAAAAAAAAAAGACCATGTTCCAGCCTTCATAGTCTACAAATTACCTGTAATGCAACAAATCCTAAGTCCAGTTAAACTTTAGAAAAACAAGTAAATTCTAGATAGCAAAGCTGTGAATTCCCCTTATATGTCCTCAAATATTAAGTTTGCCATTTGCACTATTTCCTTCATTCTCATGTATCACATTAGAAAATAGTTTAAAAAAAAAAAGACCATGTTCCAGCCTTCATAGTCTACAAATTACCTGTAATGCAACAAATCCTAAGTCCAGTTAAACTTTAGAAAAACAAGTAAATTCTAGATAGCAAAGCTGTGAATTCCCCTTATATGTCCTCTAAAGATTTTTCTCTTACCTTCCCTGTGGTCTGTCCATAAAGCCCAAATATCTCACGGAGTTTTTCTTCACTAATTGCATCTGCTCTGTCAATTTTGTTACCCAAGATAAGGATTGGCACATTGGATATTGTTTCATCAGTCATTAAAGCCTGAAGACAAGATAAAAAAAAGTGAGGATCCAGAAAAGCCACCAGATAATGAAAATCACTTTGACTTTCATTTGTCTAAAAGGCAGCAAATGTAAAGTGAAAATCTAATCATCTTTATACTTGAGTGATTAACTCAAAGTTTATTCTGGACATTATCTACAACTCTCTTAATATTAGGTAAAAAGTCCCTAAAAATACTTTGACATTAGGCTAAAATCCCCCAATGGCTTCAAAACAATGGCAACTTAAGGCTGTGTCTGTTTACAAGGAGCAGAACTGCCCCAACCGTAGTTCTGAGTTAAGTCACTCACACACAGACCATCCTTGGGCTAGCCACTGAGCAGTCCTAGAAGCATGAATTCTCTGGCTATTGAGGCTCTAAAATGACAACAGGAACTCCCAAGTATTCACTGAGTGCCCAGTGTGTGCAAAATGCACTGACTGATACAAAAGGGAGGGTAAGACACAGCCCCCTCGCCAAGAAATCCTCACTCTATGTTCACACATCTGTCAACAAAGCAAGGCAAGTGCATGGTTAAGTGTCACAACGAATGGGGACAGACTATAAATACTGAAAGGCAATCAGGGAAATAAAATGCTGATGTGGGCTTGAGGAAAGTCTTAGCAAGGATGTAGAACCTAAACTAGGCTCTGAAGGAGGGACAGGAGCCCTAGCTGGTTTGGCTCAGTGAAGGAGGGACAGGACTAGAATAGGTGAAATAGAAAGAAGAATATAAGCAATTCTACACTATCTACCTGGAGATAAGCATCAGATTTCACAAGTTAAGGGTTCAGTCCTACAAGACTCCCACACCTCTTCAGACACCAGTAGCAAGTCGAGGTTATCACTTGCACTGACCAACTGGACATAAATCAAAGGTTCCCATAACCCCCCTCTTGGGTTTAATTTGTTAGAAATGACTCACAGAACTCAGAGAACCATGTTACTTACTGGATTACTGGTTGACTATAAAAGGCCAGAAAATAGAGATGCATAGGGCAAGGTATGGGGAAAGGGCAAGGAACATCCACGTCCTCACCAGGTGTACCACTCTCCCCAAATCTCCAAGTGTTCACCAACCCAGAAGCTCTCTGGGTTTTTATAGAGGCTTTATTACATAGTCATGATTGATTAAATCCCTGGCCACTAGCAACTGATTCATCCTCCAGCCGCTCTCTCCTCCCTGGGGGTCAGGAGCTGGGGCTGAAAGTTCCCACCTCTGACTGGTTGGGTCTCCTGGCAACCAGCCTCATCCATCGGTGAGGTCTAAAATCTACCTCATTACCATAACTGAAGGTATCTATGTGGCTCCCCTTACTTAGAAAATTCCAGGAACTGTATGCCAGGAACTATGGATAAAGGTCAAATATATATGAGAAACATATTTGGTCATTCAGATGATAAAAATATATTTCTTATAAATCACAACATTACACTGAGAGTCTAGTTCTTACTGAAAGGAAAAGCTAGGAAAGACTAGAGTTGAATGGATAAATGTGAACATACTTTGACCATTTAACCCCTTCCCCAATAATTTTTTTGTTAAAAACGTTTCTTTTTCAGACTAATTTTTTTATTTTGGTTCTATATAGTATTTTTGATGCTGGTTATGAAAACAGTTTGTAATTATTTTTTCTTCCCATTTTTGTGGTTAAGAATAGTATTTCCTCAGAAAGTTTCTAGATGAAATTATTTAGAATGGTACGTATGTAGCTGGTTTTTGAAGGTAAAGTTTTTAGACGAGTATACTCGTCGACGACTGAAAAAAGAACATTTTGTGAAAACGTGTATACACGTTTCTGCCGGGGAAGGGGTTAAGTTCCAGGAAATGACAAAATCAGAGTAAGGAAGTCATTGATTCATGCTAACAAATGCCTGTGTCCAATGTTTTGCTAGGTGCAAAGAAGTAAGACAAGGTCCCTACCATTTAAGTTCAAAGTCTGGTGGGAAAGACCAATAAATAAAAACCCAGGAAAGACAACAGACACTAATGAGATGGAGTCTTAATAATCTGAGAAGTAAAAGAAGGACTCCTAGAAGTGGTCATGCCTGAACTCTGAATGCTCTTCAAGGACATTTTCAAATTTACCAGCAAAAGGAGGTAGGGGATCAGGTGAGAAAGCCAGGCAGGATAGCCACTTCTGTATTCTCGAGAATGAGGGCAAACTGTTTGAGATGTAGTTCAAGGTAAGCAACAGAAAAGTAGCTAGTGAAATAAACAGAAGCATGCTCTTGAAAGAGTTTATATGCTATGCAGATTTGTAGATTTTGTTTTGAAGATGATAGAGATCTATTAATGGATATTAAGGCAATGATAAGTCTTGAGAAAGTTCCTTCTAGCATTATTACAGTATATGGCAGGGTGGTGGTGAAATCTACAGTAATTCACAGGGTTCTGGACTACATGTCCAGATAGATGGGGAGGAAGATCAATAGTTCCACTTCAGAACAGAACTGGTAGGATGAGTTGTCTAATAGGCAGCATTATGTATGAGGCTGGAGCTCAAGAGAGGTATAGTCCAAAGAAATCCATCTGGGAGTCACTGTAGCAAATGAAGGAATGGGAGTAGCCCGGACCAGCCTAGAAGCAAGTCTAGACCCTGGGAAAAAACCAAGAATGTAAAGAGGAGTTTAAAAAGAGAGAATGGCAGTGCCAAGGAGTCAAGTAAGGGAAGGAGTGCCCCGTAGGCAGTTCTACATGACACAAGAGTATAGATTCAAGAAACGTACTTACAAATAAAATTGAGACATGTTCAAATTTCCAGGAACAAGAATGCAAAGGGACAGTTCTAAATCAAAGAGAAAGAAGAGGCACAGGGCAAAGAAGGCAACATTATAGAAATTGTCAAGCCAAGAAAATGCAATATTGAGAAAGGAGAAAACTTGAAGTGAGTCCTTAATAGTATCAAACCCTGCACATGACCAAAACTGAAGACTGAGAAGAGGCTATTACGGTCTGGCAAGTCATTCGGTGCAAAGGTGGGTAGGCACAACCTGAGAAGGCAGACTCAAAATGTAAAGAACTAATGCTAATCCCTTTTTAGGTATCACTATGCCAATACTTCATAAAGAGTGACCATATGTAGTATATGAAAGGGAAAGGCATTAATTATGATGAGACAACAGGCATACACTGGGGAGTGTCCTGAGCAAATTGGACATAGAGTCACCCTATGAGAGATATAAACAGAATTAATTTACTCAAGTGCAAGCTGAGCATCCTTAGGACATTGAAAAGCAATGTTGTAGATTTTAAAACACTTTCTTTCTTAACTAGGACCTTTATCAAATGTTAACTGGAAAGTTTAAGTATAGGCACTACTGAGCTGTATTCCTTAAAAGAAATACAGGCCACGAGAGGAAAAAAATATCAACATACATTAAGTTCAACTTTGGATTCCATGAGGCGAGGATGATCTGCACAATCCACCAGAAAGACAATCCCATTAATTGCTGGGAGATAATTTTTCCAAACCCGACGTGCTAAAAAGACAAAGTTCGTAGTTGCATCAATAAAAAAATATCCATTTTGAAAATGAATAATCTAATGATCTATGAAATGGTCAAATCTTGGCCAGGTTTCAATAGAGTTAAACTCCATATGATTTTCCAACTCTAGCCATTATTAAAAGTCAGAACAGAGGTATAAACTGATGGTCCATGAACTAAATGATTTTAAAACTCAAAAACTAGGGGTTTTTGCATAATTTTCTCCAAAACTGCAACATCTGGCAACCCCATGCCCACCTACCCAATGCCCCTTTGGATAAGGTCTGGGCTGTTGAGTTTGTCAAAGTTCCCACCATTCCTTACTGTCTTACACCCAGTTCATTTCACTCACTTAAATCACCTTCCTTGCCCCTGGAGCCATTTTCATTTGCAGCCTCTGAGTTAAAATATCATAATGCCCATTACTTGTCCATATAACTTCAGTCCCAAGTTAGTTCTTAACCAACTCATGTGTAAGTGTAGTGACACACTCATCTGCTCAGCCCTCAGGGAGACTGGGCTGACAGGTGGTTCAAGTTTCCAGGCCAATCACCTCGGTCTCCCCTATTCAACCCAGGGTGCTTATAATATTTTTTTACTTGCTTATGATATGAAGTGATAATGGTTTAGGAAGCAATGCTTTAATTATATTGTCATTTCTAAGCCATTCATTTCTGGTTCTTTCAATGGGATAACTAAGAAAGAATCTCTAGCCGAAACCGGTTTGGCTCAGTGGATAGAGCGTCGGCCTGCGGACTGAAGGGTCCCGGGTTCGATTCCGGTCAAGGGCATGTACCTTGGTTGCAGGCACATCCCCAGTGGGGAGTGTGCAAGAGGCAGCTGGTTGATGTTTCTCTCTCATCGATGTTTCTAACTCTCTATCTCTCTCCTTTCCTCTCTGTAAAAACTCAATAAAATATATTTAAAAAAAAAAAAAAAGAAGAAAGAAAGAATCTCTATATCTATGGTTGCCTCGGAAGAGGGGCTGGGAAGAAGTTTGGGGAACCTTTCACTTTTACTTTCCATATGTGTATGCTGATTGTATACTAAATTTGTTACATTGAGTCTAGACTACTTTTATAATAGTTAGATTTTTAAGTTACATATATATAAAGGAAACTTCCAAATGTACAGTATTTTAGTAACTTCTGTATAATAGTGGCTAGGCTATTATGAAAAACTGTTTCTGTTAAGTAAATTTTCCTCAGTCAAACAAACCTATGTACATGAACACATTTCCCTTCTTACTCTATCAAAACCTGAAAGCTAAATTATCACACCAAATAATACACAATTCCCACTTCAGGTGTCTAAAAGCACCTACTGTTCTGCATTCTCTAAATGGCCTCAGTTCAGCTTATAACTATTACCTCAGAATTTAAATTTGTAAAAAGTTACAAATCTTTTTAAAAAGAAGCAGAAAATACACCATATACCCCTTCAAGCCCAAATGAAAGTAATACAAGCTCATTGTAGGGGGAAAAGCCCTGGCCGGTGCTCAGTGGTTAGTGTGTTGGTCTGCACGTTGGTCTGAGTTTGATTCCCAGTCAAGGGCATGTACCTGGGTTACAGCCCAATTCCAGCCTGGGTTGAGGCGTATGCAGGAGGTAACTGATGAATGTCTCTCTCACACAGATGTGGGTTTTTTTCCTCTCTCTCTCCCCCTCCCTTCCTGCCACTCTCTCCAAAAACCAATGGGAAAAAAAAAATCCTCAGGTAATGATTAACCAAAAAAAACACAAACAAACCAAAAAACAAGATAATCTATAATCCTCCATCAAAACACATACACTGCTATTTTATATGATTGTGACCATACTACATATATGACTTGGTAGCATATAAGTAATAAATAAATAAAATACATGTAATTATATGCTAACGAAATCACTGACTATAAAATTATTTGAATCACTTCCCAGCCTTTTGGCTATTTTTTGGCTGAACAATAAAAGTTACCAATGCTCTATTTATTTATCTGTTTTGGTTAATCCTCACCCAAGGATTTTTTAAAAATATATATTTTATTGATTTTTTACAGGGAGGAAGGGTGAGGGATAGAGCTAGAAACATCGATGAGAAAGAAACATGGATCAGCTGCCTCCTGCACACCCCCCACTGGGGATGTCCCCACAACCAAATTACAGGCCCTTGACTGGAATCGAACCTAGGACCCTTTAGTCCGCAGGCCGACGCTCTATCCACTGAGCCAAACTGGTTAGGGCAGGATATTTTTTCATTGCTTTTTAGAAAGTGTGGGAGAGAGGGAGGGAGGGGCAGAAAGAGAGAGAAAGGGCGGGGGAAAGAGAGAGAGAGAGAAACATCACATGGTTGTCTCACACACACACCCAGACAGAGGCCAAGGATCAAACCTGCAACCCAGGTACATGCCCTTGATCAGGAATAAAACCCATGCAAGAGGCAACCAATCGATGTTTCTTCCCCCGTCCACCCCCCGTTCCTTCCACTCTCTCTAAAAATCAATAGAAAAATAACCTCAGGTGAAGATTAACAATAACAACAAAAAGACCATGATGGACTCACAAACGGTTAAAGAAAAGTATTAATATGTATTATATAGAGAGGGAGACAAATAAATCTGGACAAAAGGTATAAAGCAGTGGAGTTCTCTATTTTTGAAACTTTTCACAATTTGGAAATTACTTAAAAATAATAAGGGAATAAACCAACTTCATTAAAGTAATAAGATTCCAATCCTAAATGCAAGCAATTTAAAAGGTAAAAATGACAAACTGCTTTTTAAAAAAGATGGGTACAAAATCAACCATAAGTCAATACCATCTTTTCAGTGAATCATTTCTTACCTTGCTCATGCCCACCAAGGTCAAAAGTTGTAAAAGTCATTCCAGCAATTGTCAGCTCTTCTGATGCTGAAAAATTATCAAAAGAGAAGAAATAAACAAACTTCTCCATCCACACAAGGCCCAGCTATGAGTATTATAAGCCAATACAAAAGCAAAACTTAATAAAGCTTTCACCTTGTAAAGAAAAGAATACAAGTGTGAAAACATTCTTAAATTAGTTTTAGAAGTCAAGTTTCTTTTTCTCCAATGTGTCTCCTACTGCTTAGAAGTTCCAGAGGTTCCGATTTATAAAGTATGTGACCTGAGTGTGTCCTATAGGGAATTTTTTTTCAAGTGAGCTGTCTTTTGGGGTCTCAGTTAGGAAAATAACTACATTGCCCAGCCGGTGTGGCTAAGTGGTTGAATGTCAATCCAGGAACCAAGAGGTTACCAGCTCGATTCTCGGTCAAGGCACATGCCCAGTGGGTGTGCAGAAGGCAGCCGATCAATGATTCTCTCTCATGGATGTTTCTATCTCTTTATCCTTCTCCCTTCCTCTCTCTCTCTAAAATCAATAATAACATGTTTTTAAAAAAGAATGAAGAATTACTTCAATTGGGGATTCATCCTCCAACCTTGATATTGACCTTTAAATATCAAAAGGTCATCTGTTATTTTCAAACCTACTCGGATGTAATGTTGGAACATGTTGGCCCAATCTGTCATCTTTGAGCATGTGTAGAAGAGTGGTTTTGCCTGCATTGTCCAAACCCAAGAATACAAGTTTCCCAGATTTCTTGTAGAGTCCTAAAAGAGAAAAAAAAACTTTAACATTTTGTTCTCTACATATCAAAGGCTGCTTGTACTTAAATTGCTGGAGGAAATGCAGAAAGTTTGAAACCTATGATATATTTCAAGGAAATTGGCTTTACCTAGGAACTGGAGCACACTGCTGAAGCCATTGTAGATCCACTCAAAGATGAAAGACATTATTAATGCTTACTACCTGTATAAAATATGGAAACAGCAAACATTAGCTTTCCGAATGCCATATAGTTCTGGAGAAGTTAACTCTTATTCCCTGGCCCAGATGCATGTTTGCAGTCCCAAAAGAAAACAAAGGATTTTACACCCTGGAGGGAAGTCCCTATGGCAAGCACATCAATCCCGCGGCCCACAACAAATATTTTTGTGCCCACTCAATATAACCATATGTAAGAAACGTTTTAATAAAAATTTTGTAACTTAATTTTTATAATATCCTGTTATACATAATTATTAATAACGAACTACAATGTTCACTAATGACTGATTTCTATAATCGTGTTGCATTCATTTCCAGGCACACCATTTCTCTCCACTAAGACCAGCACCAAATATTTTAGCAGCCGACTGCCACTTCATTAGTCTGAACTGACTTGTTTGGTGTGCGCAACAGATAATATTTTGCTGTCGGAGAACAAAAAAAATAGGCTTATTTGCATTACATTTATTAATTTGTGCAGTTATTCAGTGTCTGGTAAGTCAATGTTCAAAAAAATTAATTTTTATTAAAATGTTCTATTAGTTTATGTTAACGATTAGTCATTTATTTCGCCCCTTTGTATTCAGCATGTCTCTATCAAAATAAACCTACGTTTCTATGAAAATTGAAGCTTTTGTTTTTTGGCAGCCCACATAAACTTAACCTTATTTGGCCCGTGTTAGCCTTTGAGTTTGACATGCTTGCTCTGGGGTCTTCAAATCTACATAAACTCCTGATTTTCTATCAGTTTTCAACCTACTAGTACAATATACTTCTCTCTTTTAGTGTTACTCACTCCTCCAGGAAGCTGCTCATTCCTATTCCCTAGGTATACCATTGCTGTCTACCAGTTAACAAAACCTGCAGGAAATCAGTCCCATTAATTATCTGTATCAAAACTTGATATCAATTCATTAAGTAGAAAATGAGGGGGGGGGCATATTAACCAGAATGAAAAGCATATTAACCCATCCTTGTAAACTGCTCTACAAAACATAGTCAGGGCCCTGGCCAGGTAGTTCAGTTGGTTAGAGCATCATCCCAATATGCCAAGGTTGAAGGTTTGATCCTGTCAGGGCACATATAAGAAGCAACCAATGAATGCATAAGTAAGTAGAACAACTCTCTCTCTCAAATCAATCAATTTTTTTTTAATTTCTTAAACACACACACACACACACACACACACACACACACACAACATAGTCACAATTTGCCCTGCTGCATTTATCAATGCTATCTCTTTTTTGTTTGTTTGGGGTTTTTTATCTTGTTTTCATTCTATTTTCGATATCTCTTCTTAAACAGTATTTGTTTAGCCTCTCTTGCAAATAAGTGTCTCAACTTACAAGAGATACCACTATTTTGGAGAGCCATGTAGCAGTAAGAAGAGTATAAGTATGGATTTTCCTAAAATGAGAATGCTCATTGAGGACATTGTGTTAGGTTCCCAGCCAAGAACATACCTTAATTAGTACTGATATTAACATCACTTTTTCTACTATTTCTCATAGGCCTAGACAAAGCTACAAGAAGGTCTACATACATTGATAATAAGCAAAAGGACCTCTAAGTGAAGTTAAGAGAACCTAGAGTCAATGGTAGGTGTTAAGGTTTCTCCCTAGTCAGCACTTCCTGGTCACACTGAACTTTTGCCTCAATATCACAGATTTGGTAAAGAGAAAGATTCCCCATTTTCACTCCTGTCCATCATCAAAAGCATGTGAACACAAGGCTGTATACTAGCTGTGACTAACTGCTTTCAAATAACACTTTCATGAAGTTTTATTTTATTTTATTTATTACTAACTTGTAAAAGGGTTACTCATAAAAACCTACCCCATTTGGTTCAGTGGATAGAGCGTCAGCCTGTAGACTCCATCCCCAGTAGGGGGCGTGCATGACACGGCCGATCAATGATTCTCTCTCATCATTGATGTTTCTATCTCTCTCCCTCTCCCTTCCTCTCTGAAATCAATTAAAAAAATATTTCTAAAAAAAACACAAAAAACCCTATCTATATTCTTCAAAGAATGCTAGATGAAGAAATTGAAAAATTGAGATAATGTGTGTTAATTTTCTTTTTCATACAGTTACTGGTTTTTGTGTTTGTTATTTTAAAATGAAGCCATGGCTTCACCTATAAACTGTAAGGACTGCTTAATGCTTATTTTCTATGGCTCTGGACATAAATGGCCAAATGAAGGGTGCGAGTGAGTCAGGGTGGAGACTGAAGGCAAAAACTAAATATAAAAAGATACTAAGGTTTTTCCCCTTTCAGTAACATCAATATATATTTTGGCAGAAAGAACAAATTTAGCAGGTTAAGTGACAGTTTTGTCTGGAAAGTTGTCCTGCACTGTAAGAAGTCCAGTGACGTAACACACAAAGATCCTGTGCTTAACTTTGCACTGCAGTCAGTCAAGAACAATGCGCCGCGCTCTGCCACCCCATAAACAGGCGTCCTCCCCTGCTGTCTGTCCACCACTTGGAGAAGCGCAGGTGGCCTTTGGAAAGCACCTCTTCTTAGGTCACTTCCACTCGGGTCACTCCTTTAACACCCAACGCATGGGGTCATTTGTACCACACTGGTTTGCAGCCAGTACTTTACAAACTCTGTAAAGTTTTACCACATCATTTTATAGAACTCCCAACTAAATGAATTCTCAGAAGGTGACAAGGGGAAAACCCCTTCTTAAGGAATTTTTCATTTTAAATGAACTACTTTCATTTTCCAATTCATTTTCCCTTGACAATAAATAACCTGCTTTAAAAGTCCTATAATTCTTCCCATCAGAATGATCTATGGAAAGTGAAGACACCCTTTGGGTGATATTAAAAGAAAAGAAAAAAAAAGCCTATTGGACACAAAGCATTGTGTTGCGTTACTCCTCTAATTTCATGGCACCTCCATTCTTGAGATCTTACTAGTAGGGTCTGCATCCCTCTGTGAGTAGCTGTATAGTTTATGCAATGCCTGCTCACACTAGTCCGTCTCATTTCAACCTCACACCAATCCCACTGGGCAGGAACCCTTGGCCTCACTTTACACCATGAGGATGCGGACACTCCAAGGTTAGCTGGTTCAACAAAGGCTGCTCAGCTGAAAAAGTAACAGCGCCAGAACTTAAACCTTCCTCTTTTAATGCCAAAGTCACCGCTCCCCCTGTTAATATCACATAAAATTCAAACTGAAATCACAAAATGCTTTTAAAAAAATCAAACTTCCTTAACCCACCAATTACACTCCGGGTAATCTTCTAAAGTTTTCCTCCGTGCAATGCATCACACCTTCTGAATGGCATGTTAACTATCACTGACCTATCCTTGATCCACTTTACCACCTACGGCATCTTATAGCAAATTAGAGTGCTCTACAGCTTAAGGACTCTGAACCACCAACAAAAGCACTGCCAACGTACCCCACACTAAAATTTGCAAATTTCATTTACAATTAAAACTGAAAAAAATAAAAAATAAAATTTGCACATTCCAAGACTAATTGATCAAATAAATTTAAAAAAGGAAAGGCACAAGACTGACCATTAGCCAATAAAGAGTCTATGCAGCCCTCACTTCCCATACATACTCATTACTTGTACACAAACTCAGAGCAACGTTGAGACACCATTCCAAACAGATCTGGGGTAGCTAAGAGACCTGCTCGGCTGCAGGGGGTACGTGTCCAAGGCCAGACCCATTGCAAAGCTCCATAAGCCCTGCCACCACCTCAGCAGGTAGGTCAGGTCAGGAGAAAAGACGAGAGCGAGAGAGAATACGAACAGGCGATTGGTATCGCGCTCACTAGAGGACCCCCGGCCGCTCAGGTAGAATCGTGAACTAAACATTCATCTACACCAAATAAATGTGAAGAAATTTTGCCATGAAATGAAGACAGAGGGGCGATAAAGGAGGGAGACATAAAGACATCAGATGGTAACAGAGCTGAGTGTATG